GTGACACTGAGGGTGACACTGAGAGTGACACTGAGGGTGACACAGAGTGACACTGAGGGTGACACTGAGGGTGACACTGAGGGACACTGAGGGTGACACAGAGGGTGATTTCAGTCCTTAGACCTCACTGAGGGTGACACTGAGGGTGATTTCAGTCCTTAGACCCTTGTGTCAAAGAATTCCAAACTCTCTGCCGGAAACACCACAGAAGAAGAGGAGATGGAGAGACTCACCCTGGTGTGAACCCTCGGTTCCCCTTCTTCTCGTTAACGTTCTTCCCTCTGTCGTAAGGTTCCTGATGACGGCCATCGCCATGAGGAACCTGTTGGTGGGACTTCCTCCTGTGGAGCAGCTGCAGAGAGAAGTGGCCTTCGCCAACATGAAGGAACCTCAGTCGGTCCAGAACCCGGATGAACGGCTCAAAGACGAAGTGGGTCACGGAGAACTGTAGAACTGAGAGAGTCTCAAAGTGTTGGATCACACATTCCACAGAAATACCTGAGGTTTTGTTTTGTTTTTTTTACTACTGGACTGTTACTGTTACTGCACTGGGGCAACCGTCCCAAGAAACAAGAATTTCTGTGCTTTTTTATGCTTTTCAAACAGCTGGCATTTCAGATGTGTTGGGACTGAATTTAGTGAAAAAAAATTTTTGCTGAGAAAGACTAGATTTAATGATCAAATTCATTTACAGAGAAAAAACACCCAGTTATGTTAGCAAATAGTTTGCTGAAAAAGACTAGATTTAATGATCAAATTTATTTACAGATTTTAAAAAAATAACTTCTGTCTCTGAGTGTGAAGTGTGGTTGAGGTTTTTAAGAACCAGAACTTCAGCTCAGTTACAGGTTTGAAGGACGTGGTCTTCAGTTGGCTTCAGCTTCAGCATCAGCATCGATGCTGCTGCTTTTATGACATGAACAGTGTCTTTGATTCTGTTGGAACATCCTGACATTTTGTATTAAATTATTTCTGAATATATTCAGGCTGGTATACAGTACAGTCTGCACATGTACTTTACAAATACTCGGTACACGTGAGCATTAATCATTTTCAGGGAAAATACTTGGACGTTATTTTGACCCTTAAATGTGATCTGAAAAAAAAAACATTTTAAGTAACTTTTTTTTAATAAAGATCTTTTTCTGCCAAAGAAAAAAAAACAGCTGGTTTAACAGAGTGAATGAACTCCCAGAAAGATCTGTGGAAATAATGTGATTTATTGTCAGTTTTCTTTACAACATGATTTCCATTTCAAAGTGCTGCAGCTGAATTCCTGTTATGGCACAATCATTTCACACAGTCACAACAACTTAAATACACAACAGTATCAGAGTTTCACTTCATTGTACAGTCATCACCATGCTGTAGTGGGAGGTTAGTGCATTAAAGGGATAGTTCAAGTTTTCCAAAGTGTGGTTCCATCAGGTACCGCCTCCTAAACTGCATTTTCACCGTGAGAAGTTGTGACAGGAAAGAATTTATAAAATAAAATAAATAAATAAAAAAATACTTGAGATTGTTTTATAAATGCCTACAGAAGTGTTTTGGAGCCAGCCCCTACTGGCTATAGCAGTGAAACTGCACACATTTCATTTACCCACATGGTGTCATGTTCATTTTTTGACACCTCAGATTAAAAAATAAAAAGGTAAGTTGCTGGTTTTCTCCTGTGTTCCTTTAAAGTCCGACTTCTTTTTAAGCTCTACCTCTGGGTAAGGAAGGGTTAATCCAACTACATCCTGTCTGATCCGATACCTAAGCCCGAACACTCAACTTAACTTTGTAAGACATTCCATACACGGCGACACTGTTCAGGTGTTGTTGTTGTTGTTTTTAAATCAGAATTGTTCTTTGCTACAGGAGGCTCCGCCCACTTCTACCAGGTGAAACCACACTTCAAAAACCCTGAACTGTCGCCAAAGGAAGTAACAACATAAAAATAAACAACGTGAGTGTTAGTTCCGTCCATGACGTAAACATGGTTCCAGTGAGAACTTGAACCAAACTAATGCCTGTTTGTCATATTGCACAGATTCAACACGGTTCCATTCAAGGCACCACGTCACCACGTGTTCAATTCCCTTTAGAAAAAATCTAATTATTAAAAAAAAGAAAGAAAAAACAGTAAATCAAACACAGAATGACTGCGTTAGTGAAGTGAAGGCGAAGGTTTTTCAGAAGTTTTTTTTTTGTGGTTCAGGGTTGAAATTAGCGTTAGCGTCGGTTGAGGAGAGCGGATCGGATCAACCCTGTGATTAGTTCCGATCGGCTGCTCTGAGCTCATCGCTCCCTCCTTCCACGTGTTCCACGTGGGACGAGGATTGACAGGGAGGAAGAGCAGAGGAGTAAGTGCGGCTTGTCCGTTCTAAAATACTCTGTCAACATGTATTTTATTTAATTATAATAATTACAGGCTCGACGTGTCCTTTTGCACTAACAAGCTCTGCCACTAGTCTCTCTTTTTCTCCCACAGTTGTTTCACTGGTGAAACCCACATCAGTGGCTCAACTTCCTTCAGTTAAAGCAGTGAAATTGTGTCAAAATGGCCTTTAGTTGTGTTATCTAGCAGCTTAAAAAAAAAAAAAAAAACGACATCTCTACCATTGATGATCAAACCTACTGTCAATCAAGTCCTAACAGGAAGGAAGAACCGGTGCATTCTGATTTAACCCTTTGTTGTGGTTTACTAATGGACGACAGACTGTGGAGGTGACATCACTCCACTGAAAGATTAGGACCAAAGGGAGGGAAGCACAACACGTGGAGGAGGATCGGGATCAGTTACCTCCAGTTAAAGTCAGAACACAATAGTTAGACGAGTCACGATTTTTTTTGAGTTGATTTTGTTTTAGGGATGTCCGATGTTAGCGTATCTATGGTATTTAACTCTTTAACCTAAACGGCTGCATATATCTGTTAATATCGTATTCGGAAATTAAGTGTTTGGCCAATATGACAGTATCAACGTAAAAGTTAATATCAGACATCCCCAGTAATAATAATAATAATAATAGTACTAGTGATGTCAGATGATATCGGTGGACTGATATTAGCATAATTATGTAATATCAGAAAGAATTGTTATCGGTTTTTAATCTGCGTGGATTTCGCCTAAATGACGTAACCTAAAAATTGTTTTTAGTGAAAGTAAATTATGTGCGCTGCAAACAGTCGTATATAATCGGTGTCGGTTGATATCGGAATTGGAAATGAAGCGATGAAGCTATCGGCAAAACGTTTTGATATCGGATATACTTGGTACTGTACTGTGATACTGCAGAGCCAGCGTGGCGCGGTTAAAGTTTGGCTTATATCGGTTAGTGTAAATAATACATGTTTAAATTAATATTAGCAAATTATGGCTAACTGGAATGCTAACCTTATCGAACTACACATTTACACTCAGGCCGGGCTACACCTCTGAGGTCACAAACACGTAACAAAAATGTTCTGCGTTTTCTACCAGATTCTAGAAAGTCATTATTTAACCCTATCAATACCAAAAATAATCATCTGGATTACGATGTTTACAACGTTAGCCTTGTGAGTTCTTTCACTTCCACTGCCGACAGGTTTACAGGTTGGACTGTGTACAAGCGGCACCTAGTGGCTCTGATTTATTTATCAGGAAAAAAACTTATGACAGGTTTTATGTTTAAACAGTTAAAAAACCTGTAAGGGTTGTTTAAGAATTAATTTTTATAAATGATTTTTTTTATTTAAACAGGGCTCAGTCAGTGCATGGCAACAGGCAAAGTTTCAGTTTGTTTTTCTCGCACTGTTAATCCAACCACAGCGGATACAAAGCCGCGGCTCCCTGTGGTTTCCTGACACTTCCTCGTTCCCCAACAACAGTACTACGTTAAAACTGGCTCAATTTTCTCCTTCAATTTTTTCCCTCTGTGCTGATCTGGTGTGAAAACACAGTTAGTGTCTGTTTTCTTCACTTCTACCTGGGTTGAAGGTCCGGGTAGAAGATTCCATGAATCACTCCATCGATGACCACGTTGGAGAACGAGTCTGGAGGTCAAACAACAAAGATAAAAACTGTAGTTTATATTTGAACTAGAAAAACAAAAACATTTTTATCAACTTGATGAGAGTTTTACTGTTAGATTTTTTTTGATGTGAAAACTTACCGTGTGCTGAAGGCAGAAGGTAAGGGTCTCTGAGAAACAGCAGGATCGGCTGATGAGAAAGTTTACTGAAAAAATGGAGAAAAAAAAACAAAACAACTTAACTTTGAACCACTTATACTACTATAAATAGATACTACTATAGTATCATAGTACAGTTAGGGATATTAACTTTTTGTGGATATTCAAAATTTCTCAGTTCTTTCAATTTTATTTATTTATCAGTTCAAACCACTGTATGAGTTCCTGACACCAACATTCTCCATACAGTCCCCTGATTATTAAATGAGATTAATAAAATGAGCTGCAATGCTGCCATCTAGTGGCTTTCACTTTCATATATAGTCGTTTTTCCCCAAAACTATTTTTTAGGGCACACATCATTTGGTGAAACACAGGCATTGCGTTATCGGGTTTTCATTATCAGAGGAAAACCCGATAACGATTCTTACAGACATTACATAATTATGCTAATATCGGACATACCTAGCTATCATTCCTTTTTTTGGGAACAAACTAGTTTAGAAAACATTTTGCCATGATCTTTTGACTTCTACAGCCCGACATTTGTATCAACGTCTGACCTTAGAAAGACTTCCACGGTGAGCAGGTTCTACAGTGGACATTCGAAAGCAGAACAAACAAAATGTCCCTACAACTAGTCAAAGTACAAACATAACCTGGTGGACAAAACCAGAACAGGAGGCTGAGGATTTACCTGGACTCCTCTGATTCTGTATCCAATGACCTAAAAATGACAGTGGGATTGGAAATAACGTCAGAGAAAAGAAAAGAAAGTGAGTGAAAAAAATCAGACTTAATTTGAAAGAAAATAAAAAAACCTCCTCCCATCTGAACTCACCCACAGCTTTCTGTTTTTGGCACTGAAGGAAAGTGGCGGATATTCAGGAAATCCAGGAATATCTTTGGGAGCACTTCATTTTCCATAATTATAGTCTGGAAAAACAAAAGCAAATTATAGCGTTCTCCTGAAGCAGTGAAGGAACGGCAGCAGCTTCACTCTGGGACTTCACTTCTCTCAGACTCTCACTGTGTTTGAACAGCGTAGTTACTTTGTTAAGTTGAAAAACAGAAATATGCACGACAGCTTTTGTTGAAGTGAGTCTTGAACGTACCTGCAGGTAAAACTCCAGACCTTGTCTTCTCTGCTCCAGGACCTTGGGAACCCAGTTTCTGACATGTTTTGAAGGCATTTCTGGAGGTTTGATACTCTTCTTCAGCTGCAGAGGGTTTCAAAACAACACACATGTACGTGTGACCGACTCTTTTAGTTGTGAGCTACTTTATTGCATTTATATACAAAAACAATTATCCTACAGCAGGGGTGTCAAACATAAGGCCCGTGGGCCAAAAACGGTCCGCTAGGCGGCTCAATTCGGCCCACTTGATACATTTTGAAAATAAAAAGACACGCAAACACTTCATGTTCATGATGTTTTGTAAAAATACATTTCATTAAATATGAAGATTTTCTAATACACTCAACGTGGAAAAAGGAGGGGAAAACATGGACTGATTGTTATTTATAAGTAACTATGTGATGATCGTACTGGTCCGGCCCACCTGACGTCTAATTAGGCTGACGTCTAATCTGACCCCTGACCCACAGTGGGTTTGATACCCCTGCCCTACAGCCTGTGATGTAGTATAAGCTAAAGTAAAATCAACGCTAGGGAAAAACAGATAAATGACAGCGTTTGATTGAGCGTTACCGTATGTAGCGAAGGGTTAGCTATAGCTGAAACATAGATTATTACCAAAAATACTGAAAACTGTGTTAGCTGAAAGCTAACTTCTCGACCATACAACAACTGAGGAACTAAAGAACAAACATAAAGAACAAATCCACAGTTAAAATGGCCGCCATCCATTTCCTGCGGTTTTTTTTCGTTATGCTGACGACTTCAGTTAAAGACAGAGGGAATAACTGAAGGGGAACACTGAAGAACTCCTCACATCTCACCATTTTATGTAAAGCGTGGAATTCACTGTAGCGTTTCTCGATGGCGTGTTGTCTGCCGTTCATCAACACATCGATTTTGAAGACCTGAAAGACAGAGGAGCACAGAACCGTCAGGAAAGGGCAGCGTTTTTATCTCTGTCAGACAGAGATGACCTCCACCCACACCCCCACGCACCCTCCTCTCTGTCAGACAGAGATGACCTCCACCCCCCCGCACCACCGTCAGTGTCAGTTCACGCTGATGTCAGCATCTTACAAACAGGAAACATCTGGTTTTGTCAGCAGAACACAAAAAGTGTTTTGTCAGTTTTTCTGTTAAATTCCCATCAACCCTTTCTCTGTTCTCGCTCGGTGACGTTCACTTGACTTTTCACACATCACTGTATTCTCCGCAGTTTTGTAAAGGAGGAAGTCAACCCTCAAATGACAGAAGTGTTGATAATACCGGACTGTCAACACATTAGGTCTTCAACCCCCGGTCCGGGGACCGGTGCCGGTCCGTAGGTCATTTGGTACCGGGCCACAGTGGGAAAAAGAAAGAAGAAAGTCTGAAAGAATGATTTGGGAAATTTAATGACCCTTCAACGATGGTGATGGTCTTACTGGTCCACAGTAACGACCGATACTGGCCAACCTTCCATGGTACGATGGTCTTACTGGTCCACAGTAACGACTGGCCAACCTTCCTTGGTACAAAAAGGTTGAGGACCAACATCACAGAAAACAGACCAATCAGAAATCAGAAATTTAATTAGCATTAAAGATCAATCTACTTTTACAACAGCAAAAAAAATGTGGTGTCCTATATTTGACCACTAGGTTTGTTGATGTGATGGACAAACTACATATCGATTATATGGTCTGCTACAAGGTCAAAAATGGGCGTTAAATTTAGGGGTTTTAAAATAAGTAACTTTACCACTAGATGGTACTAAATCTTTGACAATGAATCCTTGATACAAAACGCGTACTTAAACACAAATGTAATTCGCATTTTTATGATATTCCTTAAAAAAACAAAGCCTCATAAATTAGCTTTTGCTTCAACAGGGTCGACTTGTGGTCCCCGTCAGGCCGACTAATCGATCAAAGTCAGTAAAATTCCACAATCGGTCCTCGATAGGAATAAAAACGAGTTCAAATACACACTCTAGTTTCTGTGAGAAGCGACAGAAAAAAAAACGCATTCCCTTTTTCTGTCAAACCAAGTGCAGCAACTTCACCGACACCACATTCTCTTTAAACCCAAACCTATTAGAGTTTGAAGTCTTCTTCTTTTTACTACACTTGTCACGACAGCATATTTAAAAACACACAGAAACAAACACACACTGAAAGGTTGCTACCAGACACCAGCTCACCGTGTATCCTTTCTCGATCGAGTTGTTTTCCGAACGAAACGACGGGATCGACACGCTGACCGGATACATCGCGATAAGTACAAAACGCCAGATATATGTTTTTAATCTTTTCAGGACGTAAACAGTCACACAGGGACAAACCGTGGGTGTCACTTTCCCTGTTGCTGTCCGACTCCAGTTTGTCTGCCTGCTCAAAATCACTGAATTTAAATAGGAGCCACAGCCTCAGTACAGCTCCCTGCTGGAGCGGAGGGAGAATACACCGAGAGGCTGACGGGGATTTACTGGATTCTTCTAACGTTGGGAAACAGTATGTCTTAATCTGATTAAGACAACACAGAATGTTTTAGTTCTGACTTTTGAGAATTCCCACATTGACGACATTATATTGAATTAGCAAGTTTGACAATTTTATACCTTTGTCAAGTGCTGTTTTAAATTTGATTCGATCAGGGTATTTAAATCACCAAAATAAAAACATTTTTAAAATCAGAACAAACAATCCTACAGGCCACAGACAAACAGAACATTCACACAATATTTATGTAACAAAACATAACAATTTGCTCGTTTCAATTTACTGAAAAATGTCCAGTTTAGTTGAAGCTCGTTTCAATTTACTGAAAAATGTCCTTTCTGAGAGAGAAACCTGGGCCAGTTTAGTTGAAAACAGAGACACATACAAAGAAACAGAGACACAACAAAGCTCTTCTCTATTTTTTTTCTACTTCTTTGACATTTTTCTTGACAGTTTCATACCAGTTCCACTTCATGACCCCCCCATTAACCCCCTCACTCATATTTCTATTATTATTTAAACCTGTTTTCCCTGGTGGTGTGTTTGTGTGTGTCAGACAAAACGACGTCACACACATTCAAATTACAATTTCACGAGGTTTTATTCAAGTTTCATCAAAAGCTCTGAAGCAAAGAAACTTCTTCTTCTGTTGCTTATAAATACAAAACATTTTTCTTTATAACAAGTGGTTCATAAAACTGTGATATACTAAAGTCGTCACACGGGCTAGCGGGCTAACTAATAAAGCATCCAATGAAATTGAAATCAGAAAAATAGTACAGATAGGAAAACAGTACATCATGAAGTATGAAAAAGAAAACAACAACAACAAAGAAACAAAGAAGCAGCTTAACGTAGCATTGAGGGGTAAAAATCCTAAACTGTAATTTCGATTATAAAAGTGACGTCAATTTGATGGAATGTTGTTTTTTCTTATCTGCAGTTTTCTCCTTTTTCAGTGGTTTCTTCGACCATCTTCACTTAGTACCTGGAAACACACATCAAGCACATCAGTCGACTGAAAAAGAAAAATATTGAAATAAAATATGAAACTTACATGGACATATGACAACCGGAGACGTAGGCGTAGTTGCCAGTGTAGCGAACGTCACAGCGTACAACGTTGTTGCTGTAGTCTGACTCTGGGACGTGATAGTTTGGATTCACACTGATCTGTGTGGGGAAAAAAAAACACATGAAAACCATCAACAGGAATCTGAGACCACAGCTGTCCGTCACAGAGTGGCCAGGTTTTAGAACACGATCTCAGGGGCCGACGGTGAACGTCAGTCAGTGTTCGACTTTTTACCTGATTTAACAGAGTGAAACGACGATTACGGTCAGACAGAAATGAAAGAATTCCGTTTGGTTCAAGAAGACTCCAGGAACCATCTGTGTTTTCTGACAAACCTTCAGGACGTAGTTTCCAGGTTTCACATCTGTGATGTCGATCCACTGGCAGTCAATGTCCGCGTTGTACGTGTCATAACATCCTGGACTCAGGCCCTGGACGTTAAACAGCAGAAAAAAGAGTCGTTATAAAAAACTAAAACAAAAATGTGATGGAAACGTTGTTGTTTTCCTCTTTAGTTAAACTGTTCATATAGTCTAATACACAGAAATAAAAAAAATAAAAACGGGCAATAAAAGGTTGGAACGGACGGACAAGTATTTAGTGATTTGGAAGCAAAGCTACAAAATAGGAAGGAAAACCAAATCTTCAGCCAAAATAAAGAGAAAGAAGGAACAAAATGTTCTAAAAGAGTTGATCCCAGATGTCAGGACAATCAAAAAAGAAAGTAAATTAAATTAAATTAAATTAAATTAAATTAAATTAAATTAAATTAAATGCACTTTTTTCCACTAATGTTGGGCGATACGAGAATTTTCGATACCAAATACTTAGCTATACTAGCAAATATTGGCCATTTAACAACTTTAATATATATTTTTTCACAACGTATAACAAGTTACATCAAGTTTCTACCATTAAGGAACAAAGCATGATCACATGTTCAGTTTTACGTCACCAGGGGGCGCTACAGTTACAAAAGCCTGAATGTGGTCAGTTAGACTTTTTTTTGTTTTCATGTATTAATTAGTACGGATGCTTTATGAGCGTAATCGATACTCAGTCGATATGTGCCTGAGTACCGATGTATCGGTACCACAGAATCGATACTCCCATCACTATCTCTCATAAATACCTGGGTATGTGACGTGCAGGCGTATCGTCTGTAGTATCCGTAGTCACAGGACGTGTCCTCCAGGCAGAAGCTAGCCTTGTGGCCTTCAGCCATGGACTGTTGAGTGACGGCGTCCAGCAGGTCGTAATGGCTGAACTCGTCCATGCTGTGGTAGTGTCTGTGGACCAGAGGAACTGCATTACACCACAAAAAAAAAACAAAAAAACAACTGCGTTCTGATGGAAATGTCCAGACGCCCGACAGGGATCGGTACTATTTTTGGGTTCTGAGCTGCAGGACTGTTTTCATAGTCTGCTTTTCTTCAGATGAATTTCCAAAAACTGACAAATGATCACACAGATTGGACAGCAGCCAACAGCCAACAGCGCTCCGTCTCAGGGAGGGGGTTAGCTCAGAGCACGACTATCGAATGATGTGGTTTTTGTGGTACTTAAGGAGAAAAAAAAGTTCCCAAAAGTTTTCCATAAGCTGGAGTACGTGATAAAAGAATCGTCCGGTTTGTTTTGTTGAACGGTCGTCTGGAGCACATGTCTTTATTTTACAGTGTCTGGTTTTGCAGCTGTAAAACAAATGAGCTCAAAGGTCACGTGGAGTTCAGACGCGTCACTTTGACAGAGAAAAAAAAGTCTGTAAGTTCAGAGATTCAAATGAAATAAAGGTGTCGGCTCTGATCACAGTTACTCCGCAGTGGAGCAGGCAGTGAAAACAACGGTCCGGAGCCAACAGTAAAACAGGATCTGCTGAGGATTTACACCGAAACTACAGGCTGTAAAAAAAAGTTTGGATTTTAATTGAATCAATCAATTATTTATTTATTTTAGATTTTTTTAGCAATCAATTATTTATTTATTTTAGATTTTTTTAGGTGTTTTTTCTTTGTTTTCATTCTGTCGACAGTATTTGCACCAACAATTTTCTTTAAAAATTATTTGTTAAAAATGTAGATTATCTTTAGGGACATTTGTCCAGAGAGTCAGGGCCGTGTCTAGACACCCTGGGGCCCCGGGGCAGGAGGAACCACTGCAGTCTCTGAAGAAGTTCAACCATTGTGTCATTCAGATACAGTGTGGGCCCCTTCCAGTCCCAATGGATTCAGATACAGTGTGGGCCTCTTCCAGTCCCAATGGAACACCACTGAGTAGGGTAGTACATTGTTTCCCAAAGACTGGGTCGCAGCCCTCAGGTGGGTCGCAAGAGATTTTTTTTGAGGGCTGTCGTCTCGCATCATGTTTCTCAGGAGTTTACTAACGATGTCTTTTGACTTGGGTCACGAATTTTTGTGACTTTTGTGAAAAAAGTTTGGGAAACACTGGGGTAGTTTTTTTTTTTTTTTTCAAAAATGATCACAGCACAAAGTAAGTGCCAGGAAAACACACACAACAAAGAAAACAAAAAGTTTGAAAAATGTCTGTTTGTTATAAAATATAAACCTTAACATCATCTGTATACAGAGATGGTCCACAGGCTGGAAAAGGATTCTGAGCATTAAAAAAAAAATCCTCCGAAACAGCTATGCTAACGTTTTGATGCTCTCTTGATCATTTTAAACATTCATTGAAATATAAAAGTAATTAAAGCGTGATTAGATTTAGATCAGTTGAACTGTTGGTTGAACTCTCAACTAAAATGCCATGTTGTCAGTTAAAAAAAAAAACCAAATCACTGGTGACGTGTGGAGAGATCACTCACTGGTGGCAGCTGTGCCACTCCCAGGAATAGCGCGGCCTGCTGGGCAGAAAGTCAGCGGTGCCCTGGTTTTTGACTCTTTGAGGGAACCGGAGCAGCATGCGGGTGTCGTAGTCTCTGGCCATGTAGGCTGAGCTGGAGTCGCAAAAAAAAAACCACAACGACAGGAAGTTAGCGCCGACAAAGCAAAACAAAACAAACAAAAACAACACACACAGTGACCTCACCGAGTGTCCATGATTGAAGCCTTAAAGAGTTCTAGATTCTGACTGAACCTTGTCTATGTGTAAATAATTGTTAGGTGGATTCAAAATAAGGTTTGGGGACACATGGGAGTCTGGGTTTGTTTTCAGTGTGTTTACTGTTGAGGTTTTCTCTCCTCAGACAATCTATGATTAAGCAGTTAGAGAAATCCACTGCTCCACCCCTGAGCACCATCAGGGGCAGGATTGAGTTAATTTTACCTCATCTCAGGCCTCCACTGGTCTTATATGGTTGTTATGGCTGCGTGCTCTCTGAATCACACTCACACTTGGCAGGAAACGCGTTCTATTTTTTCCCTCCTCCTTTAATGTGGATGAATGTGGACAGACAGCAGTCGTTACCTCGACAAACAGTTTTCCTCAGCCGCACATCTCAGGTTGTACATAGGAACCCTCTGGGCGTAGGCCGAGGCCTGGATGTAGTATGGATCAGGTACGAGATCAGGAAGACCTGTGAAAAAGAAAAGAAAAGAAAAGAAAAGAAAAGAAAAGAAAAGAAAAGAAAAGAAAAGAAAAGAAAAGAAAAGAAAAGAAAAGAAAAGAAAAGAAAAGAAAAGAAAAGAAAAGAAAAGAAAAGAAAAGAAAAGAAAAGAAAAGAAAATGGCAGAAATACAAGTCAAACAACTTCATAAATACTCATAAATACTTTTAAGAATACACGGCTAAAAGGAACTGGTACAAGAGGCAGAGATCAGCTAGCCTGAGGCTCTACATGGCCTAGCTAAGTTGCTAATGGGTTAGCTGTTCAACGTTAGCATCGAAGCCCTTTCCTTGGCTTAGCCAGTTTGGTTATATCTTTAACTTATTTAAAACTATTTCAATTTCAAAATGAGTTTATCCTTCAGTTCTCTGTGGATTTATTTCACTCTACTGTTTTACTCTTTACGCTAACTGGAGCATTTTCTGTGCTAACTTCTGAGCTAACAGCATTCACATCGCCCTCTGTGTTTATTAGCAGAGCATAGAGGAGCAAACAAACGAAAAAAATATTATTTTTCTATTAAAACAATACAAAAGTAAAAACAAATAAATCAATAAACCCCAAATATGAAGTCAATACTTGGTTCATGCTTAATGTGACCAGGATGTGAGTGAGGCTGAGCACATCTGACAATCTGCAATACCCAAGTCAGCTGTGGTCACATGGTTGGAGGGAGAGAGAGAGAGAGAGAGAGAGAGAGAGAAACGGTCAAAACATCTGAGTATGATTTTGTCAGAAACAAAGGATTATTCATTTTTTTAGGGAGTGTTTCGCAAACTTTTCATGAGGAACAAATTTCACAACTTGACCTTTTGGGACTTAAATCAACAAAATTATAAATCACATTCAATGTCACATTAATTATACATTTTTGGCAATTTGTTTTATCACCATTGATCAAATGCATATTAGTATTTTTGGGACAGAAAAACATTTCCTTCCCAGATGGATTACAGTTAAAGAATGAATAACAATTTCACCCCACAGTACTGGACCAGTATTCAGTGGGCCACTAAGGTGGTGTGGGCCACTGAGGTGGTGTGGGCCACTGAGCTGGTGTGGGCCACTGCATGTACCACCTTTTCCTTTACTTTCGTCAAACGTTGACACCGAGAGGGAAAAAACAGAGGTGGAACCAGATCTGGATTTGAAATGAGAATGGCCATTAGGTGGCAGTGTCAACTAGTGAAAGAAAGGAAAATATTAGAGATGTCCGCTAATATCGACCGACCGATATTATCGGCTCGATATTAGCATAATTATGTAATTGTGTAAATCTGTAAAAATAAGGAAGGTTTTTCCTCCGATAATGAAAACCCGATAACACAACGCCGAGTTTCGTCAAATGATGTGTGCCCTAAAAATAGTTTTGGGGAAAAACGGCTGTATATGAAAGTGACAGTCACTAGATGGCAGCATTGCAGCTCATTTAATTAATCTCATCCTCATACAGCAGTTTGTACAGATAAATAATAAAAAATATCCCCAGGCCTATAAAAGTTTGACTTAATTCAATTTATAGAAACTACAACCCCCC